GGGACATCGCAACCACTGCCGCCGTCGCGTAGACGGGCGGGCGGAGGCGGTGGGCCCGTGGCGCCGGGTGATGTGACCGCCCCTCGGCGAGCCGGGCGAATGAGCCCATTCCCGGTGGCCGGGACGCTGGCCAGGGGAAATGGTGGGAGGAGAGGGTGGCGGCCCTTGTAGTGGCACTGGTGCCCCGCGTAATGCAGGAGATAGGGTTCGTCCCTCTTTCTCCTAGGAGCATCTATGCCGAAATGGCTGGTGTTCGCGGGGGATGACGCGGGACCGGGAGAACCGCTAATCAGCTCCTCCTTCCCCTCCTCTCCCTACGCCTACTGGAGATGAAGGGGGCAAAAAGAAGAGGAAGAAGAAAAAGAAAAAAGGCGGGCAAAGTGGCACAGCAGAAAGCGCCACCCAAAAGTCCCGTCAAGGTGGTGGGCCCCCTGCCCTAGATCGGACTGCAGCGCGGTCCGAAGGGGGGGCTGCTCCTATCTCAGTCGCCGAAGATTGGAGGACGGCGACTGGGAGGGAGAAGAAGAAGGAGGAGGGGGCATTAAAGAGGCACCTGGACCGGCGGCTCCGAAGCCTCGACAACAAGCCGGGGCGGGAAAGAGCGGGTCCGGGGAAGCCAATCGCCCCCCTCAGAATGCCCGAGGAGGACAGGCGGGCATCCCTAAGGTCCCTCGCGCCGCCGCAATCACAGTCAGCTGCCCAGCGGCCACATATGCTGACGCGATGCGGCGGGCGAGGGAGAGTATCAATTTGGGCGAGCTCGGGATCGGGGAGATTAGGAGCAACAAGGCGGCTACTGGTGCCCTCCTCCTTGAGATCCCCGGTCCCGAGTCGCATACGAGAGCGGATGCCCTCGCCAGTAGGATGTCGGCTCTCTTCGCCGATACGGGGGACGTGCGGATAGCGCGTCCCTCGAAGAGGGCCGACATAAGGATCCGCGACCTCGACGACGCGGCCATCGTGGAGGAAGTTGTCTCCGCGGTGGCGGTAGCCGGGGGCTGCGGGCCCGGTGAGGTAAGGGCGGTGGCAGTCCGCCCCGGGGCGAACCGCATGGGGACGCTGTGGCTCCAGTGTCCCCTTGCGGCCGCCCGCAAGGTTTTGGACGGGGGACGCCTTAAAGTAGAGTGGTCCTCCGTCCGGGTGGAGACACTGACGAAGCGCCCTCTCCAATGCTATAAATGCTTGGAGTGGAAGCACGTCAGAACCACTTGCAGAAGCAGCGCCGACCGCAGTGGTCTTTGTTACCTCTGCGGTTCGGCTGGCTACAGGGCCGCGGCGTGCGACGCACTGGCGACATGCCCGGTGTGCCGCGACTCCGGTCGGTCCTGTGGCCATAGGGTTGGAGGTCCCGCCTGCCAAATTGTCAGGCAGGCCAACGGGGGAAAGGGGGGGGGGAGGCGAAGACGCAAGGCATCCAATAAATCCCCCCCCTCTAAACCCCCCGCAGTTAAGGAGGGAATTCCCGTCACCGCTCAGGCGGACGGGGGTTCCAAAGCCCCGGTTTCTCCCAAGGACCCTGCCCCATTGGAGCAGAAGCCTCCCTCGGCGAGGACCGGGGCGAAGAGAGGGAGCGGTGCTCGTGCCGGGGGAGTCCACAGTCTATGGACTCCTCGGCCGAGCGCCGCAACAAGAAAAAGAAGGAGAATCTGGAGGAGAGCGGTAAACCGTAATGGCGACCCGCCTCCTCCAGGCGAATCTGAACCGCGCTCGCGGAGCTCAGGACCTTTTCGAACAGGCCCTCCGCGAGCGCGGTTGCGGGCTTGGGATCGCCGCCGAGCCCTACGCCGTCCCCGGGAATCACCCTAGTACAGTGGGCGACGTTGAGGGGCGGCGTGGGTGCTCGGTGGCGATCCACTGGATTGGAGGAGAGGCATCTCCCCCTTTCTCGTTCATTGAGAGGGTCGACATATTTTCGTCGGCTCCGGAACGCGCCACTAAAACATACGCGGTAGTTGGGCGCCAGGTGCGGAAAGGCCGCACCACCTCGATAAACGCGAGATTCGATATGTACCAGGAAAGTCGCGTGTCCCGGAACCGTCGGGACCGGTTGCTCGCGAGCTTTTAAGTCGGAGACGGGATGGGTTAGGAGAGGGTGGAAATGACACTACACGTTTTCGGTAACAATACATTTATTTGCGGGACTCTTACTCGTCCCGATAAAAGAAATTCGGCACTTTTTTGCACAAAACAGGCGTTACTCGCGACGCGACAATAAGCCCGCTCGATGAGAAACCCGAGGACGACCTCCTCGGGTGAGTCCTACTACGCGCGGCCGCTCCGCGGACGAGACAACGATACGCGAGCGTTAACAACACGAATTTCGACAATCGGGCGAACCACGGAACAGATGGGTGGTCTTACAACTTTCGGCGGCGATCCTTGGGTTAGCGGTGGCAGTCGATGGCGGTGTTCCCTCGCCCTCTCTCTCTCTCTCTCTCTCTCTCTCTCTCTCTCACTCTCTTTATCTCTCTCAATCGCGATAGTCGTCCACGATAGTCGGAGCTTCAAAAAATTGTTCAGCTCGCGGCAACGGTCGCGGTAAGGCTGCTGACGTTTTGCTCTTGAAGGATCGCACCATCTCGCGAGTCCTTCTGCGTCTCTCCTTCTCTCGTCCTGCGATATTCGGCAGTCGGGAATCGGTACCTATTACTATTATTGACTCGAGACAGTTCCTGTCTCGAGACATTGTTGCCGTCGCGGATTCTCTCGCTGCCTGTCTCGGCGCTTCCGTTTTTTCTTCTAGGTTCTCGTGACGGCTGCGTTCGCTGAAAGTAAACACCGCTGACAGAATACTGTCTACTTGCGATAGTGTGTTCTCGCTCCGAAAGGTTCTAAACGGTATTAGATTTATGATTACTGAGCGAGCGATAATGCGGCATTATTTAATACGAAATAGTGAGAAAGCGATTCACCTGATCCTGAGCGGTGTGGAGTTGTCGGTCGCTGCCTTTTAGTCCCTCGATGTTCTCCGTTCCTCCAATCCTGGTGGCCGGCCAGGGATGTCGGGGGGGCACAAAGTTAGGGGCGCGCTGACCTCCACATCTGCTCCGCTCGCAAAAGTCGCTTCTGATCGTTGTTCTAATGAAGTTCACAAACAAACACACGCCGGACGCGACTTCGAGAATACTCACGAAAACCGTCAGCGACGCGATACGCGAAAACTCTCACACGAATCCGGTACGATATTC